AGGCACATAGACCAATGGAATGGAATAGAGAACCCAGAAATAAAGCCAAATACTTACAGCCAACTGATCTTCAAGAAAGCAAAAAAAAAAAAAAAAAAAACATAGTGGGGAAAGGACAACCTTTTCAACAAATGGTATTGGGATAATTGGCTAGCCACATGTAGAAGAATGAAATTGGATCCTCATTCCTCACCTTATATAGAAATCAACTCAAGATGGATTAAGGACTTAAATCTAAGATCTGAAACTATAAAAATACTAGAAGATGACCCTGGAAAAACCCTTCTAGATATTGGCTTAAGCAAGGATTTCATGACCAAGAACTCAAAAACAAATGCAATAAAAACAAAGATAAATAGTTGGAACTTAATTAAAATAAGGAGCTTTTGCATAGCAAAAGGAACAGTCAGCAGAGTAAACAGACAACACACAGAGTGGGAGAAAATCTTCACAATCTATACATCTGACAAAGGACTAATATTCAGAATCTACAACAAACTCAAACAAATCAGTAAGAAAAAACAATCCATCCCATCAAAAAGTGGGCCAAGAACAAGAATAGACAATTCTCAAAAGAAGATATACAAATGGCCAAAAAACATATGAAAAAATGCTCAACATCACTAATGATCAGGGAAATGCAAATCAAGGCCACAGTGCAATACCATCTTACTCCTGCAAGACTGGCCATAATAAAAAAATCAAAAAACAGTAGATGTTGGCATGGATGTGGGTGATCAGGGAACACTTCTACACTGCTGGTGGAAATGTAAACTAGTACAGCCACTATGGAAAACAGTGTGAAGATTCCTTAAAGAACTAAAAGTAGAACTACCATTTGATCCAGCAGTCCTACTACTGGATATCTACCCAGAGAAAAAGAAGTCATTATTCAAAAAATATACTTGCACATGCATGTTTATAGCAGCACAATTCCCAATTGCAAAATCATGGAACCAACCCAAATGCTTATTAGTCAATGAGTGGATAAAGAAACTGTGGTATATATTCAATGGAATACTACTCAGCCATAAAAAGGAATGAATTAATGGCATTTGCAGCAACCTGGATGAGATTGGAGACTATTATTCTAAGTGAATTAACTCAGGAATGGAAAACCAAACATCATATGTTCTCACTGATATGTGGGAGCTAAGCTGTGAGGACACATAGGCATAAGAATGATACAATGGACTTTGGGGACTTGGAAGGAAGCATGGGAAGGGGCAAGGGATAAAAGACTACAAATAGGGTGCACTGTATATTGTTCAGGTGATGGGTGCAACAGAATCTCATAAATCACCATTAAAGAACTTACACATGTAACCAAATACCACCTATACCTCAATAACTTATGGAAACTAAAACAAAAATAAAAATGAAACCACAGTGACATACCACAGCACACTGATTAAAATGACAAAAATTACAGAGACCACAAGTGTTGGTGTTAAAGAGGAACTGTAACTCATATACACTACTAGTAAAAATACAAAATGGTAAAGACACTCTGGAAAATATTTAGCAGCTTATTTTAAAGTGCTTACTATATGACCCAGTTTTATTCATGAGAAGTGGAAACCTAGATCCACACAAAGACTTTGATGCAAATGTTCATAGTGAATTTATTAATAATAGCCCCAAACCGGAAGGAACTCAAATGCCCTTCAGCTGATGAATGGATAAACAAATTGTGGTATATCAATACAATGGAATATTAGTCAACAACAAAAAAGGAATGAACTATGTCCTGCTATGCTAAGTGAAAGAAACCACACACAAAAGTCTACAAACAGTATTATATTATTGTGAAATTCTAGAAAAGGTGAAACTATGGTGACAGAAGTTTGTGTGTATATGCTTTTTATAAAAAGTCAAAGGGAAGCAAAATGAATTGTAATTCTTACCCCATTTATGTATCATAGTAGAGGACCTGTACCTGTCTTAAAGATTTTTAACATGTGAACGATCAAAATGAACAATTTGCTTGCAATCACACAGTGAATGAAGTGGATGACAAAGCTGAAGTTTTGCTATTTTGGGTCGGTGAAGTGTGACTGTGTCATACTAAGACATTTTTTTCTGGTGATCCCAAATGGTCTCTGAAAAACCTTCCAGAAAAATAGTTCTGAAAATTGTGTCCTTAGTAGTTTCTTCATTGGAATAAATTTATAGCCTCCTTGAGTTCAGAATTTGAAGAATACAAGTGTTTTGAGATTTCCTTTTTTAAAAAGATAGTTTAGTTTTGCTTATGTCTTTTAAATCGCTCTTTTTTTAGACCATCACTTTGGACATTCGTTGGTAACAGCCAATAATATCTGATTTTCAGATAAAGAATCCAGGGAGCCAGTCTAATGGCTGCAAAGCCTTCCTGAGCATTTGCCAGGACCAGCAGCTCAGCAGCCGCACAGGCAGAAGTCCCAAAAAGAATAAGAAATAATTTTCTCATAATCAAACGTGTCTGAAATGGACATGGGCTATCTTGAGGAAAAAGTGAATTTCCCTGGTTTAAGTGGCAACTGCAGACCCCCTTGGCAGGCACATATGAGAGAAGTTTTAAGCATCAGATGGGGCGCTGGACTAATGCACGCATTCTGTGGACATGTACCTGGAGCCAGGCTTCCCAAATGGGCTACAGCTAGAGCTATCCTGACCCTGTCATGGAAAACTTCATCTAGCTTTGGATCTTGTGGATATTAAGAAGATAGACTTTCTGTGACACACCCTTGGAATCCAGATTTCAAGGATGGCAGTTTTTTAGCCTGTTGTTAAAGATGTGTAGTGCCTCTGTACAGTTCTGAAAGATGCCATTCTGTATGGGTTGAAAACAGTGCCAGAGATCATTTACAATCAAGTAAATGTGCATATTTCTGTTTGGTTCAATGCTATCCAATAGCTTTTTCCAACTCATTCTGTTTTCTGGAAAATAATTGATGAATTTAATTTGCCCTTATTATTGGCTTAAGTGAAAATGTTGTTAGATCTCAAAAGTTGAGAAACGTATATCAGGGTAAATGCTGAAAGACATGATTCTTTATCAAAAGCACCTTGTGGCTTAAAAATACATATCCAGGACTTAGAAGAGCTAACATCTTCTTCCAAACAACCTGGTAGAAGAGTTCGAGAAAGCTGCCCCAGAAGGTGGAGTTTGGCAGAGTCTGGACTACTCTGTTCAGGGCATACTCTTTAAAGAAGATGATTTTATAGTTAAGCAGGGAAGGTGAAACTTATTTTTTGGACTGGGGCATATCTATGCCTCCCTCCTTTCAAGTTGAGAGACCGTGAACACAGATTCTATTCACTAAATTAATCCCTCTTGTAGTCCTTCCACGTATTAATTCAGCAGATATTTAGTGAGCACCAGTGTACATAGTGCTATGGGAGGTGCAGTGAGGAACACAAATATAAGGAAGATACCAACCTGGGTCTGAAAGAACTCGAAATCCCAATATGGACAGGCAAGATGGAAAAGTAAGCAGCCACAAGGCAGTGTCTGAGGCACACCAGTTGAATGAATTGGAAAGTAGGGGCAGTGGAGGTCAAATGAAAGAAAGCATATTTCATTTGAGCTATTTAGGGGAAGAGTGGTTTCTGTGAGCCATACATTCCTAAGGAAGGAATGAGAGTGTTCTCTTTGGCAGAAATGTCAAGGAGAATGAGACACAATTACATTTGGTGATGAGGACATTGCTGCTGACCTTCAAGAGTAGGAATTTCAGGAGAGGATGGTATTGGAAGCCACATTGTAAGTTGCCAGGGCAGGTGCATTGGAGGAAGTGGAGTGGTGGTCACTCACTGGGACGTTTGATAGGGAACGGTAGGAAGTACAACAGAGTCAGTGAGAACTTTTTTGCCTCATAAGGAGTAAATTGTTATTTTGAAGGTAGAGGCAAGTGATTATTGAAGGGGAGAGGTTAAACTTTTATTTTAAAAAATCATTAAATTGTAGAATCCCAGAAAGTATAATGTTAATAAAGGAAAAAAAATAAGATAATTGTTAGCATTTTTGGTAAAGAAATGAACTGACATAAAATACATTTTTTGCATTTTAAATAAAAGCATTACATTAAGAAACTAAAATATTACTATTGATTAGTAATTCAAGTGAGAAGTTGAGGAGTAAAAGTAATTTCATATTTAGATTCTTGTTATTTACAGAACATTGGTCGGGCGTAGTGGCTCACACCTGTAATCCTAGCACTTTAGAAGACCGAGGCAGGTGGATCACCTGAGGTCAGGAGGTCAAGACCAGCCTGGCCAACATGGTGAAACACTGTCTCTACTAAAAATACAAAAATTAGCTGTGCGTAGTGGCGGGTGCCTGTAATTCCAGCTACTCAGGAGGCTGAGGCAGGAGAATCGCTTGAGCCTAGGAGGTGGAGGTTGCAGTGAGCAGAGATGACGCCATGGCACTCCAGCCTGGGAGACAAGAGCAAGACTCTGTCTCAAAAAAAAGAAAGAAAGAACATTAATGTCTTTGATCTTCTGATAGTAATTGAAAGGCATTGTTCCTTACCTTCTCAGTGAAACACTAGGGGATACAAACTGCATGTAAGAGCTTTTCTGTAGCTTACCTCTGTCTCGTGTATTTATCAGGGCTTGTTGTGCAGACCACTGTTTTACATCATTGATTATGTGAGTAAGAGGGAAGAAAGGAGAGTCAAGTTACACCCTTGGAAGATGAAACTTATAATTTCCATGAAGCTTACTTTATGACAGTACAGAAGTTTTCAGGGTACTCTGTCATTCAGGAGTGAATGAAAGTTTATCACACTTAATGACACCAGTATGTAAGTTTTCAAGGGTAGAGCCAAAACACTGAAAAAATAGTTGTGTGTGTTTGTGTGATTACTAAACCTTCTGAATGTGTATGTGGTTACACTACCTCTTTGCTCTTTGAGATCAACATGAATGCTGCCCGCTCCATCAAAATGAAATGTGCCATTTAGAGGAATTATTTTAACTGTGGGTCTCACAGGCATTGCTCTTGTCCTCCTCAGACACAGGTGTGTTTGCAGTGGTGAACAGCCATTCCTTGTCCTTGCTGGGGAAGCTGACCATCAGTGCTGCCTTTAACATTGTTTATATCTACACCTCTGAGCTTTACCCTACAGTCATCAGGTATGTGTCTCACACAGCCTCATTCTTCACACATTCTACACTTTGTCATCCATTCTGGCACCAACAGAGGTGTGGTACTCATTTCATCTGCTTCTGGAGTTAGTGTGGGGCAGCAGTAATTCAACAAGCAGTTTAGGCTAAGAGCCTGCCTTTGCAGACTGCTCTCTGCCTGCTCTGCTAGGAAAATGTCACTTTATGGTAGACTGAATTCCTTAGTGTAAGTTGTAAGAGAAGTACTCTATGCTAGGCATATTCTATCACCCAAACAGTGCGCAGATGCTGTTATTCTTTTGGTGAATTTTATTTATTCAGTCACCCATCCTGTATCACACATCACAGATAAGGGGACAAGCTCCCTATTCTCACAGAGCCTCCATTTTAACACAAAATAGACACATTTTTACACGATAATTTCATATAGTAACAAGTGAATATCAGAGTTAAACAGCAATTGTTAAAGCTGGGTTCTTAGTGAATAGGATGTGTTTATATTGAAAAGGATAAATATCCAGCCTAAATTTTCCTTCATAAAATAAGTCTGAAAGCAAGAAACACACCCAAATTTGAAGGATAGGGGTACAGCTGAGCCTTTGCAGAACTGCTTCTGTGGTCTGGGCAGATATTCTCTCAGCTGGCTCTTTCTCAGTCTTTTAGAGGATCTTTCCAAACAATCCTTCTCCTTCCCTTATCCGTGCAAGAAGCCTCATGGCTCTTTCTGCCTGTTAATTTAAAATTATTTTTCCCAGTAAGAGATCAGAGTGTCTGCAATTGGCTAGTAATTTTCTAGTTGGTCCTGTAACCTACTTTACCTGGCTACTGCTATAAAACTAGCATGATGATTTTGTCCAAACTGGGACAATTTTGAGAGCAAATGTGAGTATGAACTTTTCAGCTGGGATTACGGAGTGCTGTATCCCTCTACCCAAAACCATTAATTATCATTCTCTCTCCTTCCGTCTCTCCTTCCTACCTTTTTTATGCCTGCACTCACCATAAAGGTGTTCTTGGTTTCCTGACAGTACACACTTAGTCAATTTCTATTTATATGCTTGACCCGTTAATTGTTAATTAGTTGAGTTTAAATAAATGAGCAGCCTTTTCAGATCATAAAACCCTGGCTCTTTGTAAGAGGCCTAAGGTGTAAAAACCCATGAGAACTTTTAATTTAAAAATATTCAAATGCTCTTTTCTATATCATCCTTTGTGGATCCACTGTCTACTATGGTGGTTACTAGCTTTGTGTAACTGTTTAAGTGTAAATTAATTAAAATTAAATAAATTAAACATTCAGTTCTTCATCCTTCCTGGCCGCATTTCAAGCACACAGTAGTGCATGTGTCTAGAGGCTTCCACATTGGACCGGGTAATTACAGAACATTCCTAACATCTCAGGAATGTCTAGTAGGCAGCTCTAGAACCCACTGTTCTCTATGATCCTGTGCTTCCACTTCAGGACATGTTATTCAAGGCCCACTGCTGCCCCCCAAGGGTCTCTTAATTCCCCCACTAGAACTTACTGATGTATTTTTCCTTATGCTTTTCAGGAATGTTGGGCTTGGAACTTGTTCCATGTTCTCCCGAGTTGGTGGGATTATTGCTCCCTTCATCCCCTCACTGGTTGGTTTGTACCTTCTAGTTTTGTTTTTCTTGATTCTCTGCTTTGGAAATGCTTATGCTTTTGAGTAGAAAGAGGTGATGAACAGATGTCATTTAAGATTAGCTGACACAAATGTGAACCTTGTCCCTTTTAGATAGTACTCCGTCAGGGCAGACGGACTCTTGTCGAGGATTCATTTGCCTCCAGTGGGTCTGATTTTTTGTTCATCTGAATTCGTTGGAGGGCCTGCTATTGCCAGTGTGCCCCATTCCTGTCCTCATGAAAAAGTTAGTCAACTAATAAGTCTGTATGACACTTCTGCTGTGTGCTGGGCTCTATGCTGAGCACTTTCTACATATCATCACGTGCAGTCCTCACAGTAACCATAAAACGTAGGCATTGTTGTTACCCCTGTATTAAATATGAGAAATGCTACAGAAAGAGGTTAAATACCTTCCCTTAAGAACACACCTCTTGGAAAATATTAGAGGAGAAATATGTCTCGCACTGTGTCTGTTAATATGTTTTTTGAAACTTTCCAACTGTTATAGTCAAAGAAAGGGAATCAGATTAAATGACAGCCCTAAAATCCTTCATCTTAAAATGCTCAGATTCTGTGAAAGAACCCAGAAGACCCTTATGCAAGTCTCTCTTTGGTTTGATTTGTGACTTTCCCCAGCTGAGACATTTTGAAAGCAACTAGATTTGATGTGGGACTTGTTGACCTGTTCCGTAGACAACTGTTCATTACTTAGGCAGGTCTCTGAAATGCCATTGTAACCTTTTCATTTTCTGAGGTGCAGTACATTTCCCTTCTCTGAGTATCTCTCTCCATGTCTCATGGTTAATTTTAGGTCACAAGACCCTTCTTGAAGGAGTCATGTTAGGTCTGTGTTTTATTCTGCAAAATATAGGTGCTGTTAAAGATATCTGACTTTGGATAGCTATCCTAGAACATTATAATACCCAGCACTGTGTCTCTGTTGCTTCCTATAAGGTTAGAAGAAGGGAAAGTGTGTGTTCCCCTTGTTTCAACAACAGGCCCACAGTTCTGGACATATGTTTGCATGTAGATGGCTAGAGATGAGAGATTCTCCTCCTCCCTCTTCCTCCTCATCCCCATCTTCTGCTTGGTTCTCTCCATCTCTCCCTTCTCCTCCCCTTTCTCCCTTTTCCACCTCCTCCATTATCTCTTCACTTTAACAAATCAGGAAAAAATTGCCTGAGGGGAAATCCTAATTAGTAGTGAACCTACCCACAGCATTTGGAAGCCTAAACCAGAAGATCATAAAGCTTAGCTGGAATTCTAGAATGTTGATCAGCTCAGAAAAGCCCCAGAGAAGCACCCTGGAAGCAACTGTTTTTCATGTTTTCTTTGAACCTGTTTGTGATGAAATGCTTCTGTTTTCCTGAGAATATGTTTTGGATCTCTGAAACAATTGCTTGTTTCACCATGCTCAATTTAGAAGCTTATAAGCCATATGTATATGGTAGGGTTGGGTTTTTAAAAGAGTTTTTACACCTTTAATCCCTGGAACTCTCAGTTATGGTATTAAGGTATATGGGATGGTTTGGCCAATTCCAGGATTGAGAACTTTAAAGTTCATCATCAGCAAGTATTTTGGGGTGCCTCTGTGCAAAGTGCGCTTACCTGGAATGGAAGCTGAACTACGAGATGTCCTGTCAACTCTGGCCATATAGGCCTGCCTGCTCAGAGGCAGCCTGGCCTGTTCTCCTGCAATACCCACCCCGGACATGAAATTGCTGCTTCTGATCTGCAAACCAGTACTGTTCTTTTATTTACTCACTCCCATATCTATATGCCTGAGGAATCATTCTCTGATTTCCCAGGACAATTCTTCATGTGGAAAGAAGTGGTTTATAGTGTAGTCTAGTGGGAAGTCATGAACTGGGTGGTAAACATGACAGTTTTTCAGTCATGAGACTGCTTGCATTACATGCTAAGGAAACTAATGCTCTGGTTTGTTTTCATTCCACTCCCCACCTCTGCAGAAATATGTGCAATGGTCTTTACCATTCATTGTCTTCGGAGCCACTGGCCTGATCTCTGGCCTCCTGAGTTTGTTGTTGCCAGAAACCGTTAACAGTCCGCTGCTAGAAACATTCTCCGACCTTCAGGTGTATTCGTATCGCAGGCTGGGAGAAGAAGCATTATCTTTACAGGCCTTGGACCCTCCACAGGTGTGATATTTTTCTTAATTATTATACCACTCGGATGGTGGCAGTTATTGAAAAAAGGAAGGTTTGCGTTAAATAGAACTGAGCAAAACTGCTGGAAAACAAAGGTGGGATCTAACAGCAGCTGATTTTCAGAGAAATAAAGATGATCGATGATTCATTAGCTTTCCTAGAATATTTTAGGGGCTATTTATTGGGGAAATAGATGTCATATAAATACATTTGTCAGTTGAATAGCTAGATGGTAGTTTCCGTTTCAGAAATGTCATGACATCATTTCCCTGCCCTTTTCTTCTTTCCTGTTTCAGTGTGTGGACAAGGAGAGTTCTTTAGGGAGCGAGAGTGAGGAAGAGGAAGAATTTTACGATGCAGATGAAGAGACTCAGATGATCAAGTGAAGAGCCCCAGATTCCCCCTAAGAAGCAAAGGATCATCTTTTATGCCTCTGGCTAAGGCAGGTTCTTCCATGAATATTAAGAGAGTTGTAAAAAGAGAGGCTTGGCTTGAACATACATAGATGGTACCCGGCGTGGACTGATGTTTTTAGGCACAGAAGTTGGAGAAGAGATTTCGTGAGAGGCAACATCACTGCATTGAGAGAATAGTTGTTAATTTGTTTAGAATTTAAGTTCTGCTCAGAATCATAACATCTGGCAGAGCAGCCCAAACCCACATGCCAAAGTGGTAGGCTCATTTGTTTCTAGAGGTTTCATAATGTTGCTTTTCCTTCATCATGATCTAAATAAAGGCAGATATGTAAAACTTCTCACTATTTTGGTGGGGTAAGATAAGCTATCCTTAAGATTTAATCTTTATACCATGTTGGACATTTGCCCCTATCAGTTGCTACTCAGGAATCTTCTGGTACAGGTGGTTAACATCAACATTTTAATTTTGTGTCCAGGAAAAAGCACCCAGAGGTCATCTATGTGTCCCGAGACCCTTCAGCTTTTTCTCAGCTGATGAAATAAGAGTCCTCAGCTTGGTTCCCAGCCTGCTGGTTGACTTGGGCTCCTCATGCCTTGAGTCCCACAGATGATTCATTAGGAAAAGCCAGAGGTACCAAAGCGGTTTATTCAGAGTCAGGAGTGTAGCTCTGGCTGCCTGTCAGCTCCCTTGGATACTACAGTGTGTGATTTCTTCCTTTCCCACTAATACGCACATCCAGAAAAATTTCCATCTGAGATTCTGGTACTTCAAAATCATGAATAGTAAATGAGAAAGCTTTAAGTAGAGGGCAGTTAAACAGTGACATGTTGAGCACCTGGAGGGAAAAAAAAGGTGCAGTTTTTAATAATGGAGAAAATGAAATTATCTTTGATAAATTTTTATTTGTGTTGTTTTCAGTATTGTGCCATGAAGGATTTGGACAATATTTAAGAACTTGTCCTAGATCAGCCCCGACCTGTTTAATCAGAATGGAAGGTTCAGTAATTTCACAGGAAATGTTGGTTTTTCATTAAGTGCTACCAACTTTCAAGTGAATCTTACATTTGATTTCCTAAAATCATGTCTTGAAAACATGTTTTCCCATGAAACTTGAATACTATCTCAAATAGGAATATAAACCTAGAGTCAACAAGCTTAGGCAGCACTGATTTAGGTCACTTTCCCAATGAGGAAAATTTCTGTGTTTTCAGAATTTCCATTTCTACTAACCTCTTGGAGAAAAAGAAATTGAATTAGAGGTAAATAGAAGACATCACTGTGGCTGCTTCTGGAAGTGCTGGAAACATCACCCCAATTGGCTCCAAATACTGTCATGTTTTCTTGTACATTGACTTCTGGTTTCCACTGTATCAGTGTGTACCTTTGTAATTGTTATTTTTATGTCTTTTATGCCCTTGATTATTAATTGGGCTCTTCATAAACAGAGGCCATCTCTACTACTGTTTATTTTTCTCTGCTGTGCCCAGAACATTGGCATAGACTTAGTAAGACCTAGTAAATATTACTGTTTCTAGCCATCAGAGAGATTGTGGAACTCCTCCCAGTATAACTTTTGCAAACTCCAGGCAAATCTGACCCAAACTCCCAAATTGTCAAATCCTGCTTAACTTTCTCTGGAAAATAAGACACCTTCTCAACATCAGAATAGGAAGAGAGGAAGAACTTACAAAGACATTTAAACGTTCTTCTTAAATGGTGGTTGGGCATTTAAAACACTGAACTAACATATACATAATTTTTGATTAGTTGGAGCTTTATTTGTATTATAAGAGTAATATATCTCATTACAGAAAATTTGGAAACTAGAAATTAAAAAATGTATCACCCATACGTCCAACATCGAGAGAAAATCAGTGTTATGGCTTTGTTCCATTTGAAGATCAATTGGGAGTGCATCTCTCTATTGGCACTGGGTTCGATTGCCTCTGGCTAATAGAGTTCAATTAGTTCTATCCCTGGGTTTCCTTTCTTAGCTGTGGGGTGGAAGATAGGAGGGAGAAATCTACAATTTGAATACGTGTTACTTAATAAGGCTCGGCTGGCCATCAGTTCCTTATGTCAGATATGTCATTAAATTTTTTTTCTAGATGGTCCTTGAGCAAAACTTAATAATTACTTTTTTTTATTTCCACTGCCTTTATAAAATCAAAATTTCCTCCTTTTGATAATAACTGTTGAATACTATTGATGTAGAGAATGTGTACATGTGTATATTTGCATTGATTAAATTATTGGAAAACTTTTCATTGATAGGTAATGTATTTTGATTGTGCAGGTGGTTTGTAAAAAGTATCCTTTTTTTATTCTATTCAAAATTAAATTTTTTTCTCCTAAAATAAAGCAAGAAAAGTAAATGTAAGATATATAAGAAACCCTAGAGTTTCCAGGGTGAAAGTTCTCATTAGCAGCTTGTTCAAAACATTTACATCACACAAATATTTTGAAAGAAACCATGTTGAAATTGTCTGAGTTTGTAAGTTATAACCACAGCCCAGTAAAACCAATACTTGTTATTTGGCTATTTCCAAGCAATGCAGATATTCTTTAGTATTTAAAAATGAGCAAATAAACAAAATGAGGCAAATAAATGAAGAAAATGAGTTTCTGAGGCACTGCTTAAGTGACCATAAATCAGAAACATATTTTTATGGTGGGCAAATTGATGAAGATACTTTTAGTAAGTGATTTATATTCATAACAAATACATCTTGAAATAATGTCACTGCTGTATCAGAATTTTAAAATAGCCTCATGTTAGGACTTCTCCATACAAATTCTTTATCATTGGTTCTTAAATTGGAAAAGTACCTATAAATGATTACATTTTTTAACTAAATAAAATGCAGATATTTTGGCTTCTTGTAAATTTAATAAAGAATCATAAAACATAGGCCTTTTTTTTTTTGTTCTCCCAGAATGTCTCAAAATCTACAGTAGTAGCTTTGACAAGTTGAGCAAATGCAGAACCTGCTAATGAGTTAAGTAATATGTGGACAGGGGTTGTAGCAAAGTTGTAGACTGATGGACACAAAAGTTAACTATCCAAATACTTTTAGAATGAGGAAAATGCAAAGACAGTGCATTGTGGAAAATCTATCAATGTAGTATATCAAAGAAGAAAGAGCTTATGATTACCTCAGTAGAAAAATAAACATTATTTGACAACATTCAACATCCATTCAAAATAAAAGCTATTAGCAGAGTAGGAATAAAAGGATGCTTCCTTAATTAAATAAGAGATACTATAGTAGATATGGTAAATTGGCACACAGCATCTCTTCACCTTCCTGGTACCTTGACCTTTAGCCTTTTTTTTTAAATCATAACCCACAGTAAGAGATGTAAGAAATGTGTTTTATATATTCATCCTGTCATACTTCCCCACTTACAAATATATATGTACATATAAAATATCTATGAATCATAAAAATGTATATATTTTGTGCAATAATACTTAATCTTGCTAGGCACAGTAATAACTTTGTAAAATGCCATTTATGACTCAATAAATGGATATCATGACCCACTAATAGGTTCCAACCCATAGTTTGAAATCCACTGTTCTACTCTATCTTCTTGTACTACAGAAGCTTTGAAGCTAAAATGTACATTTTCTGAATTTCTTGCAGATAAGTTTACCCCTTGCAGCCAGGTGAAGTTTGGTTTCCTTCAATCAGATACAAATGGAACTTGGAAGGTAGAAGCAAGGTGGAGGCCATACTTTTGATGAGTCTGCTTTTTTCTTCACAGTGGTGGAGCCATTTGGTTTTTTTGAGGCAGTATCAGCCAGAGATGTTGTCAGTTGAGCAATAAGATCTTAAGATGTTTTGATAAACTTGGAGTAATACTTCTAGTATTCAAATGGAAAAGCAAAGATCCAAAAATATTCAAGACAACTCTGATAAAGAAGAGCACACAGAAGGTACTTGACTTTCTAGATATAAAAACTTACGAATCTGTATTGTTGGTCAGCAGTGGACAAATAGATCCATAGAACATAACAGAGATTTGTTAAAGATAGCATGACACATTAGAGGAAAAAGTGAACAATTATTGATACTAAGTCTTCTCACCATAATAAAAATAAATTCCAAATACATTGAAGGCCTCAATGAAAAAAAGCAAAACTTTAAAACTATTTGAAAGTTATAGAATATTCTTATGACCTTGGAAAATGGATAGATTTATCAGACAAGTACTAAAAATCATAAATTATTTTATAATCGATATATGTGACTTGATCTAAATTTAAAACTTGTTTCTGTATGACTAAACATTCTACAGAGTTAATAGGAAAGCAGCCTGGGTGCAGTGGCGCACGCCTGTAATCCCAGCACTTTGAGAGGCCAAGGTGGGCGAATCACCTGAGGCTAGGAGTTCAAGACCAGCCTGGCTAACGTGGTAAAACCCCATCTCTACTAAAATACAAAAAAAAAAGTTAGCCAGGCATGGTGGCATGTACCTATAATCCCAGCTACTCAAGAGGCTGAGGCCAGAGAATCGCTTCAACCCGGGACAGGGAGGTTGCAGTGAGCCAAGATCACACCACTGCACTATAGCCTGGGCAACAAAGCAAGACTCCGACTTAAAAAAAAAAAAAGAAAGCAATAGATTAGGGCAACATTTATAAGCAATAAGGATTAATATCCAGACTATATGAAGAATTACTGCAAATCAGAGATAAAAGCAATAAAGTTCACCAAAACTATGATTAGGCAATTTATAATTCATAGATGAAAAGATGCTCAACCTCACTACAGGATCAGGGAACTGCAAACTGAAACTACATGAAGATATCTTTAAAAATCCATTAGATTGAGAAAATAAGAGTCAGAATATCAAATGTTGAAGCTATGAAGAAGGGAATTTAGTGACATCCTGATAGAAGCATAAATTTATTCATCAACTAGGTTGTCAGCGAGTGAGGATGAAAATGTACGTAGTCTAGGATTCAGAAATTCTGCTTCTATGTATATCTCATGGAAGAGTGTTTTCAGAAATTTTTACTATAACCCACTGTAAAAAAAAGTTTTATACTGTGACACACAGTACACACACCCGCATACATACCCATATGTGTGTGTGTGTATATATACACACACACATAGATATGTAATTGAAATGGTGTTGTAAAACAATACCTACTACCCTTAATATCTGCACTGCATTATATTTTATTTTATTTCATTTCATAAAGAATACTAGTGAAGACACACTAAAATGATTTCACAGTTTTGAATGGATCAAAACATGCAGTTGGAAAAAGTGAAACATACTACCGTTAATATTTGCCTTGGTACTTGCCTGATATACATGTGTACAAGAGATTTGTATAGAATGTTCATTGCAGCATTATTAGTTGTAATAAAACAATGGAGGTAAATACCTTCAGTAGGGAAATGTATATATATAATTTCATATGCATAGGACGAAGTAAAAGCATAGTTCTATGATTGAGGTGATTGGATCTCAATAATGTTGAACAAAATGTTGGCAGATTTTTACTGGATCAAAGTCCTTTCATGTTTAAATTTTCCAGTGAATGATTGGAGTACTTGCTAATTAAAGGGATTTAAATGCTTTTCATGTCATACTTTAAAGTGAAGACTATTGATATTCTGTTACAAAAATATAGAAATCTCTTAATCCCACCCAGATGAAGAATTATCCCTTTTCCCCATGGAGAAAGTCTATAAACTTGCCCACCTGCAAGTCTCAATTTCTCTTCAAAAAGAGCTTTGCATTTGTGGAAACATTTAGACAACTTTTCAGCCAAGATTCTCGAGCTATCATATGAAGCTTAGAAAAGATTATATTTTTATTTAAAAATGTGAAGGGCAGATGTAGCTAAATTAGTATTAAAAGAACTTCAGTCTAGACCCTGATAGAATTGATTGATACAGTTGCTTTGCTTCAAAATATAACTTTAAGAAATGGAATGAAATGATGGTGTATGAATGTAAAAGCACACAGTCAACTTGGAAGACTTTAATTAATGAGTGATTTACCAGTATGTGTGCAGAGCTTCTAGAAACCATGGAAGATAAAACATTATGCAAAAGGAAGCCATTAATAGAATCTGTAAAGGTGAGCCTTGTGGAGCACAGCACCACAGGAGGAGTGGATCCAGAGGGGCAGAGGCAAACAAGATATTCACTCACCGCTGGGAGACCCATAAAAACTGGTGAATATCTGTCACATCAGATGATTACGGCTTTAGAAGCGTTCAAGCTAAACAGTTCTTGGTGGTGATAATACAACAGATTAATTTGCTTCCTGGAGTCACTTTTATTCTTATAGTTGCGTGTCACCACATCAATGTAAAAGAAGAAGGACTTGGCCAGGCGCGGTGGCTCACGCCTGTAATCCCAGCACTTTGGGAGGCTGAGGCGGGTGGATCACAAAGTCAGGAGATCGAGACCATCCTGGTTAACACGGTGAAACCCCGTCTCTATTAAAAATACAAAAAAAAAAAAAAAAAATTAGCCAGGCATGGTGGCGGGCGCCTATAGTCCCAGCTACTCAGGAGGCTGAGGCAGGAGAATGGCTTGAACCTGGGAGGCAGAGCTTGCAGTGAGCTGAGATCGCATCGCTGCACTCCAGCCTGGGCAATAGAGCAAGACTCCATCTCAAAAAAAAAAAAAAAAAAAGAAGGAGTACAACATGCCTTACACTGTCTACAACTAGGATGTGATTTGCCAAACAACTCCCTTTGCCCTCTAATGCTTTCAGTGGGTACTGAATGACCTGAGGACTACATCAAATACTACATCTCACCACACTGGTGATTCTTTTTGAGGAAAACAAAGATCAACTATGATCAGCAGATGCCTTAAGGCCTCACACTTACACACACACCACCCCATTTCCTTGATAATATAAAATAGCAAAACAGTGACCTGAAATGAATTGTAATATCTATAATATGCCTGTCTCTGATGCAACATGGTTAGACTGGAAAACTTAATTCTGAAGTTGACAGGGAAGAAAATTGGCAAAGGCAGCAATTTACTTTCAAATAATATTCTTTTCAAATTATTTGTTATAATTAATTTTTCCATGATAGTTTCCTCTGAGCGGATACTATAACCAAGGAAGAGCAAGAAAATGAAGAGTATTTTGCTTTTACAGGAAGAATGGCAGCCAGAAAGACCAGTGGTTAGGAAATGCCAATCAAACCAACTTTTCTTTAAAAAATACTCCCAGAGGCCTTCTTAGTTTTCATAAGTAATGGGGTCTTGCATTGGTTTTCTATTGATGCTATAACAAATTACCACAAACTTAGTGGCTTTGGACAAGATGAATTTATTTTATGACAGCTCTGAAGTCAGACTACGAAATGAGTCCTCAGGGGCCTGAATGAAGATATCAGCAGAGCTGGTTTCTGGATTCCTTTTCTGCAATAAAAGGTAACATCCACAGGTTCTGGGGATTTACATATGGATAGCTTTGGGGGAGAACATTATTCAGCCTGTCACAGGTGTCTTAAAGTGTGTGTCAAAAGATCCTAGGTAGACAAGATCTGGTGGAGTCATCAGTGTATGTTATTAATTTAATGAATAATTCAGTCATCACCTGGAGAAGCCAGACAGAAATCATGGGTAGCAGCCCCAAATCTCCATTTATTGTTGATCTTTTCTAACTATTTAACTAAGCCTGAGGTCTCCTCCCACTGAGACATTTTGTCACTTGTTGTTTGAAAGATTACACTGCTTACAAAATAATTTAAAACTCGTCTTTGTTTTTGAGTTTCGTTTGTTGCTGTATCTTAACAGTTTTTTTTAGCAATTATCAAAATCAGCTAATCACTTCTGTTATTACTTATACTTCTGTTATGTTCTCTATAATCAACCTATACTTTTCCATTAAACTCTTTGTTTTGTTTGTTTTGAGACGGGGTCTCGCTCTGTTGCCCAGGCTGGAGTACAGTGGCGCGACCCTGGCTCACTGCAACCTCCACCTCCCAGGCTCAAGTGATCCTTCTGCCTCAACCTCCCAAGCAGCTGGGACTAAAAGCATGCATCACCATGCACGACTAATTTTTTTGTAGAGATGAGGTTTTGCCATGTTGCCCAGGCTGGTCTTGAACTCCTGAGCTCAAGCGATCTTCCAGCCTCAGCCTCCCAAAGTACTGAGATTACAGGTGTGAGCCGTCACCCCCAGCCTTCCATGAAAGTCTTATTGTGTCATTTAATAAATGATGATGTCTTCCCTACTAGGCCATAAGCTCTACAAAAACAGGGTACATGTCTTTCTTTTTTCCAACCCATAGCACTGGGCCCAGTGTGTCATGGGCATTCAGCTTACTCTTTCATATGAGCTCTATTGTTACATTGAACTCAAAGGCAAGCAGGGACCATATCTTATTCATCTTATTATCCCTAAAAACTAGCATGGTATCTGGGACACAGTAGTCACTTAATTACATTTCTGAATGAATGGATGCCCAGACACAAGGCAGTCACGATTAGTTTAGTCTATTCAGTAATGTACTCAAAAGGGATACTCTTCCCCAAAATCAATTTGAGAAAAGGACTTTTGCTTATCTATGTCTGAGAAAGCTGCATATGAAGAAAGACCTTCATTTCACCTTAACCTTCTCGTTATCTAATCTCACCATTTTGTGTAAAGTCGTAGTTAGGATGAGAATGCATTCAAGAGAGCACTGATCCCTTTTTTATAGGGTTAAAGATGTCTACCTCGAGAAAGGAGGTAGGCAAAGAAAGATTAATTAAATAACAATCTTGTCCATGTACCTATGGACTTATTACTGTAGTACCATTCAGCCTACTGATTTGTAGAATGAATGAATTTGGTGATTTTTAAAAATTGAGCTATCTCCCTGTCTCAATAGAGAGGCAGTCTATCCTACGATGGTATTCTTTGGACAAATTTTTGACATAGTCACCAATATTGTAGTCTTCAGGTCTTTTAAAATAATTCATCTAATGGAAACACCATATAAAAGGTTGAGAAATGATGTCTGTTTGGTTCTAGGCATTTGAGGATCATCAAACACATTAAGAAAAAAGATCATTAGGTGTTTGATCAATGTTTAGGTTTTTCTGTTTGCCAGATAACTCAGAAGGTGTCTCTCATATGTTGACTAAATATAGGTTACCTTTGATTTGTCAGAGGAATGCTTTGCTGGAGGAATGCATAAATAGCTGAAAACGACAGAGAGTAAAGCCTAAGGGGAAAGTTTGACAGGCTGGTTGTATTTATGTATTCATCCTGCCACATCCTCGAAAAAGGTATTTATTGTTAAGTAGGTTCCAAAACATCTTCAAGACCAGAAAATGCCTTGGATGCCACTGGGCTGTTGAATTCCTTAGTTATTGATTTACTAATGTCATCATGAAACAATTTATGATCTTCCCAATCCAGTACCCAGGAGAGGGAAGGGCTTGATAAGGATTTAGCTGATAAGGAGGAGAAGAATTGCAAGATTGAAGACCCAGAGCAGCAACAAAGAATTTTGAAAAAGAAATTTCACTAAAGAGTAAAGTTAGTGTTATTTTGGTTATGTGGAATATTAGAGTGAATTAAGTAGAAGAATAAAATCACTAATAAAATTGATTAGCAAAGAGGTAATAAAATCACACCATTGAGAAACAGATGCTAACCTAGACTTTGTGTATCTTCAGTTTCCTTTCAAGCATTTCAAACCTCCCCAAATAGCTTCAAATTTATCCTTAGATAGATGTGCACAAAAGGTTCCTTCAGCTACTTTCTAGTATTCAAGAGATTATTTCAGGGAAAAATCACATTTATTTATTCATCAGATATTTTGGTAAGTATTCTAGGTGCTGGATTAAAAGAGATAAATGGCTCACGCCTGTAATCCTAGCACTTTGGGAGGCTGAGGTGGGCGGATCACTTGAGGTCAGAAGTTTGAGACCAGCCTGGCCAATATGGTGAAACCCTGTCTCTACTAAAAATACAAAAATTAGCCGGAAATCACCTGAACCTGGGATGTGGAGAATGCAGTGAGCCCAGATCGTGTCACTGCACTCCAGCCTTGGCGACAGAGTGAGACTCTCTCTCAAAAAAAGTTAAAAGTACAATAGTAAAATAGATAGCATGTCTTATTTTTCTTCAGGCTCTGTTTAATGGTGGTGATGATGACATGATGGTCATCACTACCATCCATTGAGTACATGCACCGTGTCACTATGTTAAATGCATTCCATGGTTATTACATCATTTAATTCTCACAACTCTATTAGGTAGTTTTATAATCCCTACTTTATTGATGAAAACAATGAAGCTAAGAGACATTACATAACTTTCTCAAGGTCACAGTAAGTGTCAGGGCTAGGTCTAGACCCTATCTTTCATGTGTCAAAGCCTAGCACTTAACTGCCCCTTCTGCCCTGCTTCCTGTGAGAGTTAATTCAAGAGAAAAAGGGTCACTTCTTTTTCACAGATAGTTAGAAATTGTTCCAACACCTCCCTGGTTTTCAGGACAAGAATGCAAATTGAGAACAGACACTGGTGGAATCCTTAGGAAGCCAAGGCTCAGACATTTTGATTAGGCCCCTTCTGGAGGAAGTCCTTTAGAAGGATTCTAATTAATTAAGGATTCTCCCTATATCTTATAAACATTTGAGATTTTTTTCTCCAGAATTAGTGCAGGAATATATTTGCCAGTCAATAATATGAGTTTACTGAGAAGTTTGTCAAGATTCATTAATGGGCTGAGTTCAGTTAAGATCTCATAAAGAAGGTGGCAAAATTCTTCTCCATATCTCTAGGGTGCCCTTTGAGATCACTTTATTTGCTTTGGGGAAAGTATTACCCTGACATTCTGCCAAGTACATTCAAGAAATACTCACTGAGGGCCTCCTGTGTCTCAGGCACCATAGTAGGCTTGAGGCTGTCGAAGATCAGTGAGCTGGGTTCCTCAAGCCTGAGCCTTTCCAGAGTCTGACCTAAATGGGATATAGGTGATAGGAAGTAGGAGGGATTTGGGGAGGGGTTTGAAGTCAAAGGTAAAAGCCCTTAGTGAAATTAGAGAGAACCTCAGATATCCAAGTTTTGGAAACTAGTAACAGAAAATGATTTATTTCATGGAAGAATTTCTTAAGAAATGATATCTCAGGCTGGGATTTCTGCTAGAGTTTCATGGAAATCCAAGTCACAACTTCTAAACTATTCTTCACCCCATGCTTTAATTATGCCACTGGCTAAAGCCTGTTACCTGAGGAGAGTAGGCTTCTGCTGTCAGTAAAGGGATGCACAGTAGGCCCATATCAGATCAGCCAGGTTTCAAAGCCCAGAGTAAACAACCAGGGCTTCCCAATCACCACCAATTTTCTTTTGCATTCCTCATTAAATTTATTTGATGCTTAATAACTTTTAGTTTTGAAATAATTCAAAATATTCCCCAAATATATTGTAAGTACCCGCTGAAGTTTTCATAATCAATATCGTGTAAATTGTAGTTTAAGAATCAGAAACATTCTCATTTTCCTCATATGTAAGACGAAATGTTAATAATAGCATCTTTATTGTAATTGCTGTGATGATTACTAAGTGACATGTATATAAAATGCCAACTACTGTGTAATAGGGCTTCAATAAATTATAACACTTAGGAACTGTTGAAGATTTTAAAATAAGAATTTAATGCACATTTATGTATTTGGAAAAAGCGTAGCATTTATGTATTTTTAAATAGCAACGTGAGAGGTCCTTTTTATTTAAAAACAATTTTTTAAGTGTTTTTTCAAAAGAGACATCTCATATTGCTATACCTTTTCCAGAAAATGAAATCGATATGAAATGTTTCAAGAAAACATTTTCACTTGATCCAGTTCATTTGCCAACTAATAATATAACTGAAGAAGTGTGACTTTTGTAAGATTATTTCCCTCCTTATTGTCCTTGAAGATCTTTCAATCTTTCATTTCCTATAGAGGAATGCCTGTAATCTGCCTTCTCCTCCCACTTTTCTGAAGAATCCCTGGAGCAAAATTGGAGAGGAGGCCATAGCCTCCTTGTGGGAGGAGTTGGAGAGACTACATGATAAAACGACTTTCTGACCCTAGACAAAAGACCTTCTCTCTTCTGGTTTTGGAATCGTTTTGGAAGGGTGAGTATGGGAGAAAGGTAACTGGGGACTCTGTGTGTGTGTGTGTGTGTGTGTGTGTGTGTGTGTGTATTCCGTCTGGAGCTCTACAAGGGAACCTAGGAGAGAAACCAGGAGCGCTGCCTGCACCATTCTCTAGGGAGAGAAGGATCCTGAGGATTCTGGCTAAGGGTGCCCTCAGGGAAAGAGTGCAATCCGTCCAGAGTGACATTTGTGTAAATTATGGAAACCTAAGGAAGCCTTAGGTGAATGAACAGAAAGCAAATTGAATTGCACATTATATACACCATTCTTAAGGTAGATGGAAAAGTCTCATTGTTTTAAGAACAAATAAATATTACCAGGCTCAGTTCTACTTAGTTGTTCACATAAAGATTCTATCCTTTGCCCTCTTTCCTTTCTACTTTATATATTCTCCCTGAGCAACTTTAATGCTATCTGCTCTGAATATTGAGCTTTATTGTTTGTATATTATTTATTTTTTATTATAAAAATAATACTGCATCCGTTGTAGGAAAAAAAAAGACAATACATGAAAGACTAACATGGAAAAGAAAACTTAAATGCAATTCTGCCACCTCACGATAACCACGCCTGACCTTTTCACCATCTGTGGATAATGTTTTGTGACCTGCTTTTTTCCCATTTGTTGATATGTCACATTTTCCTGATATTATTATTTTTCCATATTATTTTAAAAGCTGCAAAGCCTTGTATTATATGACTGTATTATAAAGTATTTACCCAATATTTACTTATTAGATATTTAGTTTATGTCCAATTATCCCTCTTGTAAATGAGGCATACAGGGTGTTAGCATACTTCCCATGTTTCCTTCAGTTAAATTTTAAGATACAGATTCATGGGGTCAATGAGCATGATTTTGATAATTTTAATGAAAATCTTCATATCAGTTTAGACTGTCATTGTTAATATATAGGATCAGATCCCCCACAGTGTCCTTTTCCTTATCTTTGCCAAATCATCAAAATATGGGGGGTCAGAGGATTGAACGAGAGGGATATCTCATTATTAGGACTTCATTTGCATGTTTTTGGTAACTAGAGATGTAATAGTTTTATGCTTCTTAGCCATTTGTATTTCTTTTGTGAATTGCCTTTTCGGATTCTCTGCTCATCCTGTTATAAAATTATGTTTTCTAATCTTGAAGTTTAAAGTTTTTACTTAGCTAACATTTTCAGTACCTTCAGCATAAGTGCCTCATGCATACAATTGGAGAGAAATGTTCACCTCCTTTTACTTCTGGTTTCTTTTATGATTTGTTTTTATGTTTAACTTCTTAATTTACATGGAATTTATTTTGGTGCGTGGAATAACATAGGGGCCTGGCTTTACTTTTTTCCGACCAGCAGAGCATTTTCCTTTCCACTATTTGCTTCATCGTTTATTTGGTCCCCATCAATTAAAAATGCCATCTTTATCTCAGAACCTTAAGGAGTCAGGGATGACCAGGATTGTTTAGGCAGGAGAAGGGGAGTGGTTGGAAGGAAATGAGGCAGTAAGGAGACTTCAACTTTATGAGTAGCATTTTATGTGGTTTACTTTAAAAAAAGATCAACAGCAAAAATGACAAAGGTTTTCATTTGTGAAATCTGGCCATAGGAACCCAGGAGTCTTTTCTTTTTCCTTTCCCTTTCCCTTTCCTTTCTTTCTTTCTTTCTCAGGGTTTCACTCTGACAGCTCACTGCAACCTCAAACTCTCTGGGCTCAGGTGATCCTTCTACCTCAGCCTGCCAAGCAGCTAGGTATACAAGCATACACCACCACACCCAGCTAATTTTTGTATATCTTGTAGAGATGAGGTTTCATCATGTTGCTCAGGCTGGTCTTGAACTCCTGGGCTCAAGCAACCTGCCTGCCTTGGCCTCCCAAAGTGCTGGGATTCCAGACCTGAGCCACCCAGGAGTATTTTCTGTGTTTCTCTGGTGCTCCTTAACAATATGTATACATACATGGGAACTGTATTCCCTGGGAGCTTAAGAGAATCACCAGTCAACTGAGCCCAGAATCTTCTAAAGAGGTGATACTTTAACAACTTTATAATTTCTTCTATAGTGGTTTCCCTTAAAATATTCTTATTTCTTTTGAGTCAATTTTCCTAATTAGCTTTCTTCTGGGATATCATTCAGTTTATTCTGATTTTAAATAGATTGACATAAGGTTTAGCAGAGTAATATCTATCTGTGACTATATCTTTTTGATTCCTATTTTGCATATTGTTATTTTCATTTTACCTGATGAGATCAGCCAAAATGTCTTTGAGTGTCTTTGTTGTTGTTTTTCAATTAACTTTAAAATTTTTCAAGCAGTTGGAATTATTTTATATATAATCATCATTTTTAAAAATTGTTTTGCTCTCTGGCCAAAGGATATGGCGAGTACAGTTTTTTTTTAAAGAATAAGGTTCTCTTTGCTGTGGTTTTTCCACGTTACTTATTAGCACTTGATACCATTGTCCAGTCTCTATTTTAATAATTTTTGCCTACTTGATCTGTCAAGGACTGAAAGGGGTGTATTAAAATATCCTCTGACCATTGTATTCTTGCCAACTTCTTTGACTATTCTTAATGTTAGTAATGGTACATAAAAACTTTTACTTGACTAATACACCTCATAATATTTATTATAGATAGCAGAAAATTGTAATAATCTTGTTCCATCTTGAAGTCGATGGGGGGTTTAACCCATTGGCCTTTATTGTTATGATTGACATTTTGGGCTTCTGTCCTCTCATGTTTTCTGGCTTGTATGTTTCCTTACCATATTATGTGCTTTCTTTTTCCGTATGGATTGTGGGATTTTTTTATTGTGATAAAATATACGTAGCAAAATTGGTCATATTAACCATTTTCAAGTGTACAATTCTGTGGCATTAAATACATTCACACTGTCATGCAACCATCACCACCATCCATTGTCAGAACTTTTTTCATTCTCCAGAACTGAAATTCTATGCCTGTTTATTTATCTTTATTTATTTTTTTTTTAGATGGAGTCTTGCTCTGTTGCCAGGCTGGAGTGCAGTGGCGCCATCTCAGCTCACTGCAACCTCCACCTCCTGGGTTCAAGCAATTCTCCTGCTTCAGCGTCCTGTGTACCTGGAACTACAGTCGTGCGCCACCAGGCCCAGCTAATTCTTTGTATTTTTAGTAGAGACAGGGTTTCACCATGTTGGCCAGGATGGTCTCGATCTCTTGACTTCGTGATCCACCTGCCTCGGCCTCCCAAAGTGCTGGGAATACAGGTGTGAGCCACCATGCCCGGCCTCTGTGCCTATATAACACTACATCCCCATTCTCCCTCCCCACAGCTCTTGGGAACCACCATTCTATGTTCTAACTCTGAATTTGACTACTCTAAATACCGAATATAAGTGAAATCATACAATACTTGTCCTTTTGTGACTGGCTGATTTCACTTGTATAATGTCTTTCAAGTTTCACTCATATTATAGCATGTGTTAGAATTTCCTTCCTTTTTAAAGGCTACGTAATGTTTCATTATATGTATATATCACATTTTATTTCTTCACTCATCTTCAACAGACATGGTCACTCCCACCTTTTGTATATTGTGAATAATGCTGCTATAAACATGGGTGTACAGATATCTAAGTGGAATTGCTGGATCATATGATAATTATGTTTAAATATTTTTGAGGACTTGCCATACCAGTTTCCACGGTGGCGCCACCATTTTACATTCCTCCTAGCAGTGCACAAGTGTTCAAATTTTCCCACATCTTCCCCAACACTTGTTAGTTTCCAATTTTTTAATTATAGCAATCCTAACAGGTGTGAAGTGGTATTTCATTGTGGTTTTGATTTGCATTTGCCTAATGATTAGTGATGTTGAGCATCTTTTCATGTGCTTATTGGCTATTTATAGATCTTCTTTAGAGACATGTCTATTCAAGACCTTTCCCCATTTTTTAATTGGTGAGTTGTAGAGTTCTTTATATATTTTGTATTTTAATGCCCTATCAGTTATATGATTTACAAATGTTTTCTCCCATTCTGTAGATTGTCTTTTTACTTTCTTGATAACATCTTTTGATACACAAATTTTTAATTTTGATGTAGTCCGGTTTATCTATTTTGACTTTTGTTGCCTGTGCTTTTGATGTCATATCCAAGAAATCATTGCCAAATCCAGTGTCATGAAGCTTTGCACCTATGTTTTCTGCTAAGAGTTCTGTGGTGTTAGTACATATGTTTAAGTCATTCTTTCATTTTGAGTTAATTTTTGTAGATGGTGTAGGGGTCCAACTTCATTCTTTTACATGTGGAAATCCAGTTGTCTCATCATGAATTTGAGTACAATTTGGAGGATGGGTATATAGTTATATGCTTTCTGAATTCTTATAGCTGATAATATTTTTGCTGTCTTCACAAATGCAAAAGACCATTTTTTCCTAAAATTTTGTCAACTTACTTAATTGTAGGCTATCGCTTACTGCCATAGAGAAGACTGAGGCCAGCCCAATTTTTGTTCCTTTTTAGGTTATTTATTTTTCTCCATCCTGCATATTTGTAAAATTCTTTGCTTATCATTTGAATGTTAAAGAATTGCTTGGACATGTCTAACTAGTATTGTCTCTTCATTTATATTGTATGGAACATGTAAGTCATCATTCAGTGGATTCAGGTCTTTTTTAACTGAAAAAAGCCTTCTTCTATTACTTATTTAAATAAGTATTGATTCTGCTTTGTTTGTTGCAGCAATTTTCTCTGCTAGATCTCCATTTGATGTTCTTCATATTCATCATCTCATAATTGTAGTATTTTTGTTCTTTGCTTTTACATTAGAGGAGGTTTCTCAAGTGTGTCTTCCACATGATTTTAGTAATACAGATTCTTCTCTTTCTGTTTTTAATTCTGCTTTAAATTCATTTTTGATTATTGTTACTTTCCTTACACTCGTTTAGTTCAGTTCAGCCAAATTTCTGTTTGTTGCCTTAGAATGTTATCATTCACCTTTAA